TTCTTCTTTGAACATAATTATTTTAATTTTAACGTCAAAAGTATAATTTTATAACGTATGTGTTCCATTTAGTTTCTAATCTTCGTCGTTTATAAAAGCGAGGAATTTAAACAAGTAATATAAATATGTGAGAAGAAACGGGGCTCTAAGTTGATAGACGGGGAAGATACGTTCTCTCCTCTTGTTATTTTAGGAATAATAAAGGATATAACGTATCTTCGTAATATCGTCTATTCTGAGCTTTCTCATAATTGTATTGTAATGAATTAATTAAGTTACTCTTGTAAGTGAAAGTCGTGTTACAACAATTTAATAATATCACTAACCGGCTGTTTAATAATATTTTTAATTGTAGACTTTTTGTTGTTTTTAGGATATTTTAAGATTCTGCTGTTTTTTACGTAGTATAAAAAAAGGGTGCGTTACGCGTCTGTTTGTATAGACGCTGACTCCTTCTGAACTACGCAAAGGATTACAATAGGACTTACTCTACCAGTCTTTCGATCGACGACTTTGTCTTTAATCCCTGGCTATCACTAGTTAGATAATTTTTCAAGAAAGTAAAAATAAGGTAAGTAGTTTTAAAAGCTTTCATGTGAGTAGAAAAAAATAATCTTTGTAACCGAACCGCCTATAAATTAATTCGCATTGCTTACGTAGGCTAAAACTTAAGGGACATCTACAATGGTGTTCTAAATACTTATAGTTTTCTTAAACTGTGAGCTTACTTGAACGTTATTGAGAATTTTTGAAGTTTTTGTTAACTTAATGTATTGAGAGCATTCAGCTTTACAGTTTAGCTGTCATTCTGTTCTGTCAACTTGTCCGTTTGAATTTGTAAATTTGTAGCTTACATAATTTACAATTATTTGCACATAATGCTAGCTTGAACGAAAATCGTTTACCGACAGATGTAATAAAACAATTCAGGTACTTAAAGTTTCAATGAAATTAATGGTTTCTGTGAGACAACAGTAATAAATAAAGAAGTGGCATCGGTGAGTTTTCTTAAGGGTTTTAGAATTAATATAATTGTAGTTTAGTAGAATTATTTATTTGCTCTTAGTTTATGAAAAACACGCTCGTGATGCAAATTAAAAGTTAAAAAAAAACTGCACATCATTCTATCTTAAGATTGGTAAAAAAAAACTTCTAGACGAGACGTTACATACTTCTGTACTTACTTAAACATAAAAACTGTCAACCTAACTTAAAAAAAACAGATTTTTAATATATTATATTTTAATTTCATCACATCACATCACACCAACAGCCTTTAATAATAGTCCACTGCTGGACATAGGCCTCTCCTTAGAAAGGAGGTTTTTTGTATATTTTAATTTAATATTTCATATGCCTACTTAAATTAAATTTTCAGATATACCTCACCCAACTAAATATCGATAGGCGAATAGTTATTTATGAAAACTCGTATTGTTTAATATAGGTTTCTACTATTGGCATGTAAGGCCTCACTAAATATATAGGTAATATTATTGTAACAATATGATAATATCACTCATGTTTTCAAGGTGAATAATTGCATTCAAAGAAAAGAAAACAAATGTTAGTTTAAAGCAGTTATAAAAATAACATTAAATAAATTTAACTTAAAACGCCAAAACCACATAAATGTTTTCATAAGCAACAGCGTGAAGATTTAAAAACCGTTTCATAAATTCGATCTCATCAATTGTAACGCAAACATTTGTTTCGATCCTGAATGTCTATTAGTAACAAATATACTCGGGAACTATCAATTATGTTATGAACCACAAGATTGTTTGGGTCTGCAATCACTTTGGTCCCTTCTTAACGACACCTATGCCTTCACAAGTGACTGGAGTAGGGTCGGCTAAATCAACAGAGATTTTGCTTAAGATAAAATTACTACGTATGTGAAATTGACATCCATGAAATTTAGTGTTATGGCAATTTACTTGACCGCAATTTGCAGACCACGTTCTTCGAAATACCTTTTAATATTTCGTTGCAATAATATTTTAGCGTGTTTTGTTCTATTCATCTTTGCTAGTTTTATAATCTCTCGGATTGCCAATCAGCCTTTCAACAGTTACACTTGTCGCAGTTACTGTTCAATTTAATTGCAGTCCAATCATAATCTTTGAAATTATAATAAACATTCAATTATTATCAAATTTTGAATAATTTGTATATTATGTTTTACTAACAGTATATATTAATTTAGGATCATAGAACTTGTGATAAGATGAAATTTTATTTTGACCTTGATCCAAGACCTCATGTAAATTCTCATTCCTCATATCTGAAAATCCTGAATTTTATCCCATTTTTTTTTCATAGTATGGCAGAATTTCGTTGTATCTTCTATAATTGGCATTATTATTATTTCAGCATATCAAATATCCTTAAGTTAAAAGAACACCTTGAGCAGTCTACAAATAGCTTAAGTGTGGCATAACTTAACTAACTTGTAATTGTTTCAAAATCAAATTAGACCCTCAAAGTTCAATCCAAACCACTTTAAATATTCCAGTTTATCCATGCTTTAACGTAGCGGTAGAACAATCAGTGTCTAACATTATTCATGTTATGTTAAATACAGCAGTGATCAGAATCAGAACAATGTATTTATATCTTGCAAGGAAGGCGTCCCATATGCTTTCTGTCTGTTAAATCTGTTTCAAATGTAAATATTGTGGGTAAACACGAATTGTTGCGGAAACGATCTATTTGTTCGTTTGGCACATATTCTGTTGCGACCGTGGATATTATTTGTAACGGTATGTTTCCTCTGTTGAGTGTTATTCAATCTGTGGTTGAGGGATTATTTAAGATTGCGGATTGAGGACTTATTGATTTATTGATTATATTATTCTTTAAAGACAGCTAGATTATAATTTAAAAAAAGGGGCAGCAAAACCTGAAGTCTAAAAGATTAACCTTAAAACAGAAATGAGAATTTGTATGTCGTTTTGAATTTGTATTCGACTATTTCTTTAGCGTTCCATGGATTCACCGTGCGGTTGCTGGGAATTCGAAAGCGCTTACCAGGACTGCCTGCTGTGTTACCCCCTCTACCTTACTATATTTGATATGAGCCTAGCGATGCCGATTTGGATATTCGTTCAAGAAAATAGCTTACTGAAACTCTTGGCAGTCCAAGGTCTTTAAGCAGGTTATAGAGGGATTTAGCTGGTATACGCCTCGCACCCACTTCTACGGCATACAACGCAACGACATAACCATTTTTAGTTATTTCGTTAATTAAGTCAAAGTACTTGTTTCTTTTTAAAGCGTGGTCTTTAGGGATGTTCCTTTCCCACATCACCGGTAGTTCTACTAGTACTACACGTTTAATTGAAATTGAATAAAGAAATATGTCTGGTCTGATCGCCAAGGCACAGATATCCTCCGGTATTCTGTAATAATTTTTATACGTGTCCACTAATAATGTCCAGTCACTGGTGGTATTTATAACTGAGTACGGCTTTTGTGAAGTCTTATTGAGCCTATATTGAGCCTTCCTTTACAAACGCGATGTTAGTTCTTATGTTTGTTGTGATTCCTTTTTTCGCTCTCGCCATCGATAAACCGCCTTACAACCTGTCAGTAAGTGCCTGACTGTACCTATTTCCGCACTGCACATCGTACAAGCCTTTTCTGTAGCTTTTCCCAACCTTACTAGTTTGCTTTGATCGAGAAGAGTTAATTGTGCTGTAAAATTTTTAAATTTCATAATTCCTGAGAACAGAAATTCAATTTATGTTATAACATGTATTCCATTGATTTGATGTGAAATAGACCCGTTTCGTTTTACACCGGGGTTTCCTCAATATATATCTTTCAAATGAGACCAAATTGTACGCCAATGAATCGTAAATATTTTAGGTTTTGTGACGCTACAGATTTGGCGTGTAATCTGAGATTGGAAGTATTGAAAAAAGGCGCCTATCTTTATTTAAAGGACCCAAAGCTGGTATTGGTATATTTAGTGAATTGCTAAACTGTAACTATACATAGTATAATGATGTTATGATTGAAAAAATATATACTTAAAGAAGTTTAACAGCTGAAATTTTTGATTGTCAATTTTCGTGTTTTTATTTATTTATTTATACTTTATGCACATATAAAGGTGAGAAAAGTAGATTATAATGCCGTAGGCATTTTCTAGCAATCGACCACGCGTAGATAAAACATGGTAGGTGCATAGTAACTTAAAATGAGATGTTTTTTTTTATGTCAGATGGGGCAGACGAGAAGACGGGTCACCTGATGGAAAGTGACCATCGCTGCCCATGAACGTCTGCAATCGCCGGCCTTTTAGGAAGGAGTACGCTCTTTTCTTGAAGGTTTGAAAGTCGTATTGGTCCGGAAATACCGCAGATGATAGCCCGTTTCACAATTTAACATATTGATATAATATATATAACATATTAAACAATTTATGAAACTTTAATAAGAAATACACATACAATAAGTATAATGATACTAACACATACTAATACACACCTATTTTTTTATAATTATACTATGTATATACGTACATTATATAAATTGTAGAAGGAGGAAATATGAATATTTCTTATCATAATTATTCCACTAATATCGTTATCATCATCAAGAGTCTTCAATAGTCCACTGCTGTACATAGGCCTCTCCTTATAAAAGAGGTTAGGGCCCCCTACCCCATGCTGTACAGACGGGTTGGTTCCTTCTCTTTGCAGTGCTGTAAGGTTGTCATGCATTTGCTCCCTTAGTCGGCTCTTACGACACCCACGGGATGAATAGGGGTGGTGACACTACGTATTCTTATTCCGTCACCACATCATTAATTTAAGACACGATTTTTTTTAGATAAATGGAAAAAAAATTGGAACCTTAATCAAATTAAATATGAAAGTTTTATTATTTATATAATTGATTAAGTATAAAATTGTTTTTTAACGTTTCTGGCAATAAATCAGAAGTGCCATGCGTACCGTTAATATTAATTTCTTTTAAACAATTTAACCATGGACTCCAACAAGAAGTTTTCTTCTAGCTTGCTGAAGTCGGAGGTTGACATTCGGCGACTGCTCACTAACTCGCTCATTTGGCGCCAAATAAGTACTATGTCGAGCAATATCATCTTCGAGCTTGTTACGGTCGCGTATGGGCCCTTCATGTTCTTACCTACAGCAGTGTCATCAAAAAGAGCTGCGGACAGGACCTGTATCAAAGCCCCAATTTCATCTTCCAATTACTACGAGTCGAGTCTGCTGGTTCCGTATATTGTGGAACCACTAGCAATTTTCTCCGTGTTTCAATATTTCAGCTATTTGAATATTGGAACATGTTGTTTTGTTCCTCAGTCATTTATTTCACAAATTAATTTAAAAAAATGATTTTTTCGGGTAAAACTATCGTAATTTGTCATAATTTTTAAATAAATTTACATACAGGTTTAATTATATTCAATACTGAAGTGTGATAATCGTCCCATAGTTAGAGTTACTCGTTTACGAGTTTTCCGCTAACAAACAAACAAAAAGTTTTCTCGTTAACATGACACAGAGGTTGTCGCAATACAAATGTACATTGTTGCTATCTGACAATATACAGAGAAACAGATAAGCTCGCAATAAAATCCGGAAGAAACTGGTATACGAGTAAACACATTTGAATAATAATTATATGCCAAGTTCAAATGGAATTATTCCTGTTTCAAATAATACGTACGAACTGCTCGATGCTTCTTACTTTTTTGCTTCGTTTGTTAAGAGTTTGAAGCATTCTGAGTTACTTTACAATAAAGTAATATTAATAATGCTTGGTGTTTCTTTGACACAGAAAATTTGTGACGAAGTCAAAGAAGGAGGCTCAAAAAGTTATTGAAAGTTTTCAACATAGCTCCCAGAGTAAGCATGCTTTGCTCTTACAGAAGGACAATGGGCTTGCTACATTTATCGCAGAAACTATGGACGGTGAAGCAAAAATAACTGAAGTTGTGTTGAAGTCCGTGGACCAGTAAACGAAAGGCAGAACGCCCTCTATCCAGATGGACTAAAAACCTGCGATAAGTCAGCTGGGGTAGATTAAATGCTGAAGGAAAAGGACTAGGGGCTATGATGCATGTAAATTTGTTCATACTACTGCGGTATGGTTCAACCGACCACTGTATAATTTTGGAACCCACTTGCCTGGGATGCAGGATTGTTCATTCATACGGAATAAAAATATACTACTCTTTAGGATTTTTTTTAAATTCGCGTAAAGCGTTTTTACTTATTCTTTATAATTGATCTTTTTATATATCAATTAAATATTAAATAATTAAATCTTAATAATTATTCTGAATAAATTTGCTGGAGAAGAATGATCTGTTGCTCTTACTTCCAAAGGGATTCTGTAATCACAAACAATAACAAAGTATTCTTCAGTGACGAAGGATAAAGGGCCAAAAGGTAGGGTATTAATGTTCCAACATCAATCAATATCTCTAGAATTCATTTAATTACTAGAATTCACTAAAATCTCCTGGGTGAGACGAGCTTCAGCTATGAATAAAACACGTATTATTTGATTTCAAATGTTTGAAACAGTATCTAATATATCATTATAGTGAATATATATGTATATATAAACTGCACTTTAGCATGCCAATGAGAAAAAACTACATGTTGTAAGAGTAAAAGTTGAAAAGTAAACTCAACGTACAACAAATTGAACACTAGGGGTACGACTTTTAGTATTATTTTCATTTGAATTTACTTTTTATTAATACTTTGGAACTCTCAGTATGAATGGGGAAGTTCCTTCGAAAGATAGCGATTACCCAGCATTACTAGCACAGTATTTTACATTTTACTTTTACATTTTTGTTGTTTATAAAAAATCACTAAATATCCGTTGAAAGAGGCAAAAACAATTTGCCTGTTCCAAATATATACATTCTGTATCTATTTATATCACGATGTCTCCAATTGGTTGATAAAATAATATATCCACTGGCATCGGCATACGAATTGGGGTATCCAAACCATTTTGCTTATGGTTTTATTTACGGCTGTGCGTAAAAAAACAAAATTGTTGCAGTTGTGGTTTTGTTATCCGTGATTTTGACTAGAGATGAATGGTTTTGCATAATGTTCATGTTGGCTCATATGTAGACAAGGACTGAAATAGTATTATTTATTCTCTAGAGGGAGTCAGAGATATAATAAGTGAAAACAGCCTTATTTACCGAGAGCAAGAATTTAGGGTCAACTAGTAAAAGTTGGGATGGTCCGCGGTTTGAGCCGTTACGATAAGGTCACTTTTGACGTATCATGAGGAATAACGTGAGGAATTCGCAGCCAAAATTATTTTAATACATAAATATATTCGTCGAATTTTGTTTGTAATGTTGCGATTTCATAGCCGTGAGACACCTTGTCCACGGCCCGGCGTTATCTGAATCATAATGACGCGGTTTTAATAGTGTCAAAAATTATGTGAAAAAACTCGGAATAAATTTAAATTATAAATTTTACGATGCGTTAAGACAGTGGCTTTAAGATAGCCCCGGACTGCCTCAAAATATTGTTGCTAAAATGGCATGATAATCACGGCTCATCTCTTCTAAAATACCAAATTCTTTATTCCTTCAAGAAGAACACAACGAATGTTTTAAGTGGGTACTTAAACTGACCTTTGTAACATGTTATACCTCAATCATGTATCTCTCCGAGCATACATTTCAACTCCTTTCCCTTAGAATTGACATTTTGAACTTAAATTTTTCAAAACTTAGATATATACGGCAATCTTAATTGAATTCCATCAATCCAATTTTTACAATATTGTTATTAAAACGGAGTAAACAGAGATAGTGTATCTTTATATAAACAGTTATGACATTAGTGAAAGTTCTGAATCCGTGGGAGTATTCGATTCATGTGGGAACATTTAGACAACACAAAAAAAGTTTTCACTAGTTATTACTTAAGTTTGGGAATCTGCTTTGTTCATGCAGTACCATAAAAGTAACTACTAGTGTTAGTTAGAGATTGTTAGAATTTTTATGTTCTTTGACCATTCTAAGAGCATGTTGCGTTCTGTTTTTTGCATAATAATCAAATACTGACCGATTCGTGTTCATGTACTAAGGTTGCTAATGACGAGTGGATGTCCAGTCCTAGTGGTGTCTCCATTCAGTGGTTCACCTACTTGTTCAGTATTACCGTATTATTAGTCCAGCTTAAATAAGTATATATAGCAGATCATCATCATCATCAGCCTATCACAGGCCAATGCTGGACATAGGCCTCTCCCAATGCACGCCACTTAGATCGATTTTGACCAAATTGCGTATAGAATGAAGATGACGACGACAAAAGACGTTCTGCTCTCTTACGAGCTGTGTAAGATATAGCGTAGGACACCATAAAACAACAAATGCTGTAATACGGCGGGGTATGCTTTATTTTATTAAACCAACTTAATCTTACTTCAAGTACTAATTTCTGAACTCTCTGTAAACACCAATAATTGACTAATTCCAAAATCAATTATGAGATAGATGCAATTATGTGAAATGCTTCTGTATTTAGTATTTAATATAATTATTAATTCCATAGTCGCTTTACATAAATTATGTATATAGAGTACAAGAGGTTTCTGCTAGACTGGATATTAAGTCGACTATTAAAGGGACCGGTTTCAAAAACTGTTTCATCATCAACAGCCTTTAATAGTCCACTGCTGGACATAAGCCTCTCCTTAGAAAGGAGGTTTTGGCCTACTATACCACGCTGGCCAGACGAGTTGGTATAGGGTTTGTGTCAGTTTGCCTTCTCTTTGCAGTGCTGTTGTCCTGCGTAGTTAGCAAAAAATGTTTGAAGATGGAGGTAAATTTGGGAAAAGAAGATGAAAAGAGCTCGGGAGATGACCAGGTTAAATTCAAATTAACATAGTTTTGGAAAAAAATATAAAATTCGTTCTTTATCATCATTTTTTAACAGTCCACTGCTGGTGATAGGCCTCTCCTTAGAAAGGAGGTTTTGGCCTACTTTACCACGCTCGCCAGACGGATTGGTATAGGGTTTGTTTTAAGTTTTTTCTCTTTGTAGTGCTGTTCTCTTGAGTAGTTTTCTTCCTTAATTGGCTCTTTCGACACCCACGGGATGAATAGGGGTGGTGGTACTCGGTATTCTTAATCCATCACCACACGAATAATTCTTCAGCGTCAGGGAATTATATAACGATTCTATTTCTAAAATGTCGTAGTCACATACAGATAAGCAACAAAGTAGTATTATAATATGTATTTTTCGTATTTTCGTTCGTTTATGTGAATCTGATTACAATTTGCATCGCTTAAACTCAAATGGAGCAATACAAAAACCTACACCTTGAACTTCAAACCTATGACTTAACAGACAGTCGTATCGTACGCTCGTTTGTTGTTGTACACGTTTCATTGCGTACAAAACAGAGTGGAACGAAACAGTGATGTAGTGATAAGTGTAATCGTTACTTACAGTAATTGCACAGTAACAGTGATCTGATTTATAGGTTTTTGGTTACGGTTTTATATGTTAAATTATACGGCTTTTCCCCACCACGTCTCTAAGACCGTGTGACTGTTTCCAAAGTATATACAAAAAATAAATAAAGCAATAACCCTGAGTACCGTACAAATGGGCTTTATAGACCGAAGTGATACAAGCCTCACAGAAAACCGGCGTTAAACAATTATTTCGTTGCCCCTTACCGAGTGTGTGAGATTACCGGAACATAGTGAGCATACCGGACCATGAGTTTTTTTGCCCTTTCTTCTCATAAAGCTCAACTCTTTAGAAACGGGCGGTTGTAGATCGACAGGCATATCATAGATTTTGTATAAGTATAAAATATGTTACCCTTTAAATTCCTTGGAAGAAAGATAGAGTACAAAGGGCATATTCTATCTGTAAACGCAATAGTTGATGACTTCGTAAAGGACATTGACAAGGTAGTTGGTCTACCTTGTCAATAATAAGAACCTAAAAAAAGCTTGAATTTACGACACCTACTTATCACGTATCAACTGGCCGTTTATGGTATACAATATAAACCAGGACCACTTAAGAACACTGGACGCGAAAGTCACTAGGACATTGAAGTCGTGGCTCGGGCTAGCAACATCTTCAGAATGAAATTAAAAAGACCTTCGGAATTCTACAAATACCTCAGAGTTACCAAAATGCATGTCTCGTCAAAATCATAAGACAAAATCGTTAGATCCCTTCCAAAAGATAATAATTCATTTAAATTCCACAAGAAATTCATGGTGGGTACGTAGAGATAATAAAATCTTTCCTACAACAAGATGAAAACGGTGAATGAAAAAGGTGCACGCAATGAACCTAGAAATGCAGAATGAATGGTTAACTCTAGGAGAATTATGTATCCAACCAGCTTTGAAAAAACGCACACTTTTATACGATTGGTCACCGGCCCTGTTAAAGTTTTACCTTAACGCCTTTCTATTGACTCTCCCCGATTAAAGTAACCTAGTAAGGTTGGGAAAAGCTACAGAAAAGGCTTGTACGATGTGCAGTGCGGAAATAGGTACAGACAGTCACTTACTAACAGGTTGTAAGGTGCTATTAGACCGGGGTTACACGTCGCCATGATATGGTATTACAAATCATACGCAAAGCTATAAGTTTATCGCTGGCGAGAGCGAACAAAGGAATAACAAGAAACATAAGAACTAGCTTTAGCTAGCGTTTGTAAAGAAAGAGTCAACTCAAGAAAAAATATTTTACTAAAGCCGTACTCAATTATAAATACCGCCTGCACCTAGGGTTTTCTAAAATCAGTTAACACTCCACACATTTCCCCTTCAATCATCAATTATCGCAATCAGTTTGAAGACCTCTTGTCCAACATTGAACGTTTAACTTTGATTAAATCCACGAACAGTATCCCAAACATTAATTTGAAATAGCACTTGATTCTAATTGTAATTTAAAAATAAACTAATTTAAGTACAAAAGGTTCAAT